ACAACCAATCAAGGGGGGGCCGTTTAATGGCGGATGAAGCTATCTATAAGCTTCAGCCAACGCGGTTGCTGTTGGAAAGATATTCATCCTGTTTCTAGCAAGAAAGAGGCCGCTATGAATGGAGAAGATGCTGCCATACGGTTAGTTCTTTCTTTCTTTCTTGCTTCTTCTTTTTCCCTTTTTGAAGCTCCATTCTTAGCATCTTTATGTAGCAAGTACATATGCTTCCAATGTTTGATACTACATCTGGGGTACCCTTAGTTTCTCGTGAAATGATTGCCTTCATTTTCAAAAAAGTTTTCTTTTTAATGTTCCCTTGTGGGAGGATGACACGTTTTTCCACAACAATTTTCAACAAAAGGATGTTAGATATTCTCTTTTGAATCTGAAAGGGAAAAAGCAACTACCCAAATTTGCGTTTCCCTATATACTTTCAGTGTCTGAACTCTTTGTGCCATCCACTTGGTCTGTGAATTTCTTGAGCTTACCTTTGTTGAGGATGGTTGGAAGACGAATTCCACCTCGACTAATTAAGGGTTGATCATGGGTTTCGAAGTACGAAATACATTTTTGTTGGTAAGAGGCCTTTTGAGGAAACCAAAGGCAAAGCCATAAGAGCTTATGCTCGAAGTGGACAATATCATACAATTGTGAAGGTTCGTGGTTTCTAACACTTTTTAGACAGGACATTGATATGCGCTGATTTTACTTTCGTTTGTTTAGGATTCAGACTTCCTCCCCTGTGGACATACACTCAGAAAACTCCTCGGGTACGGTGGGAGCGGTTCCAAGAAGATTTGAGTCTTCTTCTGATACACTTACCAGTTTTGGAAACATTCATTTTAAGGAAGAGGTCAAGAGTAAAGGGTTGAGCTCCATAAAAAGGTCTATTGAAGGAAACTGGATATTCCTTCATCTGTGGAATGATGTACTTGTGATGTTGTGTGTAATTGCAGCCTTACTGGACCCTTTGTTCTGTTACATCTTAGTGGTTGATGATGAAAAAAATTGCATACGCTTTGACAAGAAGTTGAGGATCACAGCCGTTGTTCTACGTTCGCTCATTGATTTTGGCTACATACTTCTCATTGTCTTTCATTTTCGTATCGGTTATACTTCCTCAAAGGATGCTAATAACGGAACACTTTCCACAATAGCAATAGCTAGGAGATATCTTTTATCTTACCTTACAGTGGACATTCTTGCTGCTCTTCCTCTTCCACAGGTTTGGACTTTTAGTCTCTGCCCAACTACACAATTTGGACAATTAAAACTATATGTATGTTACCTTATAATGATTTGTGAGCAAACTTGTGTGCAGGTGATGATAGTATTAGCTGCTCAAGCAGCAAAAGGTTCTCATTTTACAATCTCTATTAGGACATTGAAATTTGTTCTTATCATTCAATATTTGCCAAGGGTGTTTCGAGTGTACTTATTCTTAAAGAAAGTGAGATGGAGTTCTGGGATTTTGCCTGATTCTGCTGCGGCCAAAGCTATATTCAATCTCTTCCTCTATATGCTTGCCAGTCATGTAAGTTCATTCACAACTCAATCTTTGTCAATTACAAACCAGCAACCTTTTTCAATGGATGATTCAGAGCTTCTATGCTTTTTGTTTGCCAATATCTTAGCATAATTCAGTATCTACGTGGTTCTTGTAGGTGTTTGGAGCCTTTTGGTACTTGTTTTCTATTGAGCGCAAAGCAACTTGCTTGCAGTCAAGGTGTCTTAGCCATCCATATTGCCCTCGGAAGTATAACATCACTGAAGAGGGATCGTGCTTAGATAATTGCTCTAGAAAAGCATCATCAAATGATACAGCACCTTTCAATTTCGGAATATTTGATGATGCCTTTAAGTATGACGTTGTCAATTCCACTGATTTCGTATGGAAAGTCTCTTATTGTTATTGGTGGGGTCTGCAAAATCTAAGGTCTGTACTCAAAAGCCTATGCATTTGGTATTACTCCCCTGTCCATGCTCTATGTTAACGTATTTCACTGCTTCAACATTTTTCAGTTCTTTGGGTCAAGGCCTCAGAACTAGTAAGCATATATGGGAAATTTACTTCGCAGTCTCCATAACCATTGCTGGCTTGGTACTATTTGCACTTCTAATAGGAAATCTGCAGGTCAGTGCCAATTAATATTCATGTAGCATAATTACATGGTTAAGGCCAACTTCGGTGACACCTTGACATGGGAATTTGGTTGTGAAACAGACATTTCTGCAGTCAACAATTGCGAGACTGGAGGAAATGAGATTGAAGGGGCAAGATATAGAACTATGGATGGCCTACCATTCACTCCCTCGTGATCTAAGGAAGCGGATCAAACTATATGAGAAGTATAAATGGCGGAAAACTAGAGGTGTTGATGTTGCAAACATTCTCCATAATCTTCCTAGAGACCTTAGAAGGGACACAACAAGACACCTTTGCTTACGTGCAATCAAAAGTGTAAGTTTCTGTTCTCCTTTCTGTTTCCGTTCATGGTGTGTTGTTGTGAGATCTCACATCTGTTGGAGAGGGGAATGAAGCATTCCGCATTCCTTATAAAAGTGTGGTGGGGAAATCTCTCACTTGCAGTTGTGTTTTAGAAACATTGAGGAGAAGCCCAAAACGAAAAGCCAAAGAGGACAATATCTGCTGGTGGTGGGCTTGAGCTGTTATAAATAGTATCAAAGTCAGACACCGGGCAATGTGCCAGCAAGGATGTTAGGCCCCCAAGAGATGGATTGTGAGATCCAACATTGGTTGGAGAGGAGAATGAAGCATTCCTTATAAGGGTGTGGAAATCTCTCCCTAGTAGACGCGTTTTAAAACCTCATGGGGAAAGTAAAAAAAGGAAGGACAATATTCGCTAGCAATGGGCTTGGACCGTTACATTTCAGCTCATGTTATTCATTCTTCTTGCATATGGTAAAGGTTTCAATGTTTCAAAACATGGACGAGAAGTTCTTGGATGCCGTTTATGGTTTTTTGAAGCCGATGCTATACATTGAGCGTAACTTCATCGTTCGAGAAGGAGAGCCATTAGATGAGATGATCTTCATAATCCATGGCAAGTTATGGATCTATTCCAACTCCAATAGAGATGGTGAAACATTTGGTTCGTCTGAGAGCCTTAAAAAAGGCGATGTGTTTGGAGAAGAGCTTTTAAAATGGGTATTGAAAGATCCACTTTTATCCACTGTCCCCATCTCCACAAAAACTGTCTCTACACACACCAAAGTGGAAGCATTTGTTTTAAGTGCACATGATTTGAAGAATGTGGTCTCTAAATTTTGGTGGCTTATCAGTCAAGCGCATGGAAACGATCCCAACTTTAAAGAGCGATGGGCGCCATTGGCTGCTCTTGTGGTGCAAGCTGCATGGCGTCGTTACTTCAAGAGTAAGCGTGAAAGAGAGAAATCTCAGTTAAGCTTAGCCACTGAAAGTGGGAATTCACAGCCTTCAGTCACCACAACCATTCATGCCTCTAGATTCATTGTTCGTGCATTAAATGCTTTAAAGCGAAGACAAAAAAGAAGAAATGCAAGCAGTGATATGCCGGGAACCAGCAACAACAATGACTTGCCAAAACATAGCAACATCTGAGAAGAATTGCCAAAACATAGCAACATCTGAGAAGATTTCTTTCACTGTAAGAACTCTTCCACGGCACTGCTTTCTTTATGGGTACTATACTACTATATATACATATGTATGTATATATATAATATACACTCAAGATTATCCTTCATTTTCAATTCATTGCGTATGAGTCTAGAAGTATATTCTGTAGGGGAGGCGGAGGAAGGAGGGAGAATAATCCTTGTTGATTATTCTGGCAATACTTTTAGTTGGACCAATCAGAGATGGACTGTGGAACAACGTATGAACGTTTAGATCAGTTTTCAGCTCATGAAACTTTCTGTAATATACGACTGGATTGTCGGGTGGTACACATGGATTGGATTGATATCATCAGAAAATAGCAACGTTTAAGAGCATTTCCTTCACTGCAGCAACTCTTCTTCTCCTTTCCAGGTTGTAGTTAGATCTTGAATATGCTTTATAGTTTGTATTTTATGTTTTATCTACTGAATTATGCTCATCGTTAACAGATTGAGGTAGCATAGAAGATTATTAGTAGAACCTAAGACCTGGAATCATTGTTATATAAATTCCCCATTTTTATTAATTAGGAAGTGGTTTCTTTCTTGTTTTTCTTTATTTATCGGCTAATTGGCATACCAATCAGCCATGGAAAAACAACAAAAACAGCTAAACACTTATATTCTACTAGGATAACAAACCTGAACTTGTTAAATAATATCATTAACGATGCCCTCCCTCAGCACACAGTAGAGATGCTTCAGCCACTCCAATAAGTTTATGTATACACTCAACACTAGTGCAAATCACCACCTTGGAAGAAGCATTTCAAACAGTCACCAACTTAGGATGAAATGCTTCCCTTTTTAAGTGAAGCTGAAGCATCACTAAGTGCCTTCACCTCGCTCTTGAGAAACGATGGCAGCGCAAATGCAGCCAAGTGCATCTGTTGGAATGTCAAACCATTATTAGTATCAACGCACGGTGTAATCAAAGTTTTAATCCATATAGTGTGTCGATGGATGCATCTCTACATCGACATTGTATCGAATCTTAGTTAAGTTAAAGTGCTCTTGTGTGGTTACCTCAGAGTTGTAGAATTTGAGTTCTCTTTTTGATTTGAGATGTCCTAACTTCTCAATGGGATTCACAGGGTTCCTAAAATCAACTGTTGGCCCTTCAGTTGAGCAGAGTAGAAACCCTATAACACCACTTGGATATGTTGGAACACTGGTCCATGCGTAGTGAACATCCTTGAATGTTTGGCGACATATTGATATCATGTCCTGAATGAGATGTGTATGCAGCCACATACTTTCAGCCATGTTACAGAGAACACCACCGGGTCGCAATGCTCGGGCTATCGTCTGAAAAAATGGCATCTCCACCAGTTCTTGGGCAGGACCTGTATTACAAGAACCCCCAGTTAGAAGATGAGTTTACGAGCACAAGTCTTTCGAAAGAGAACATAAATTTAAGGTTCTAATTGTTGAACGAAAAGGTATGTAGCTTGCGTTGCACCATTTTTTTTTTTTTTTTTTTTTTTTTTTTTTTTTTTTTTTTTTTTTTTTTTTTT